CGTTTGCCCGTGAGGCAGTTTCTGTTTCTGTTGAGTCTCTCGCGAGATTTCACAACGAGGTCAGACTGTGGGGCCGGCAGGGCAGACGTGATGCTGCAGACTAGAAAGAGAATCCACGCGCTCTCTGAGACGAACTTTAATTTGTTCCAGTAATTTTAGGGGAACGATTAATTAGTTTTAAAGGATTGCGTCGTTTATGTAATAATCAGCTTGTTTTTATACTACAGGATTAATTATTATAAACTCAGCAGCGATAACCACGTCAACGAGTTATTTTAATTAAACTGTGCACTGCATTTCCAGATTAAACCCGTGGCAAATGGATTTGCGCTGGATTTTTCACAAAGAAAAGAATATCTGTGGGCTTTACTATTGCCTGAAGTGGAATAGCACTCCAAAATCAGTTCCTTCCCTTGGATCTTTCCCGTCAATATCATAAATTCATTTTCTTTTCGGCTTAGTCTCTTTATTAATCCAGGGTCACAACAGCGGAATGAACCGCCAACTTATCCAGCACGCGGATGCCCTTCCAGCTGCAACTCATCTCTGGGAAACATTTACACACACTCATTTACACACATACACTATGGACAATTTAGCCTTCCCAATTCACCTATAGCACATGTCTTTGGACTGTGGGGGAAACCGGAGCACCCGGAGGAAATCCACGTGAATAAAGGGAGAACATGCAAACTCCACACAGAAACGCCAACGGATTCAGCTGAGACTCGAACCAGCGACCTTGCTGTGAGGCGACAGCATACCTACTGCGCCACTGCGTCGCCCCCTATGTTAGTTATGTATAATAGTAATAAATGTGTTTATTAAATATTAATAAACATTAAATATTATGTTTATAATATTTATAAATATGTTGATTCATGTAGCATAGTGGTCCTGCGAGACATAGCATTTCCTTTTACTGTACATGTACATGTGTAGCGGAATGACAATAAAGCTCAACTTGACTAGTGTTGTACATGACACTTTTTCAATTTCCTCATACATTTTTTATATACTTTCAACCTTTTTTCTCTTTCAGACAAAAACTTACAATGCCATTTTTCAGCAGTTGCATCTGTTTTGCAACAAATTTTATTCTTAAGGATAAATCCCTTGAGATGTGACGTCTCATTTCCAAGGGGGTCCCAAATAAAGTTTTGAGTGTTTTATAAAAGATAGTATGAGTTTAAGAAAAGTCTGGGATGCACACTATTTAAATGTCACCATCGCTAAAAATCACCTTTTGGAAGCTGTTTGGTGTAGGTATAATGTGTCCACAGTCATATTGGGGTGATATAAACACAATAAGTCTTTTTTTTATTTCCAGACGTTAAAATAAGATCCAAATCCCTCCCATTTTGAGGCCCACCTCAACGTGACATAGGAGTGCGGTTTCCCTGCCCACCAAATTGATTGACAACCACTTTTGAACATGTCTCCGTTGTAACGTGTATAATCAAATAATCATATCAACAAGACAGGATGTGCGCAAAGCAACTGGGATTTAAAGATTTGTTGAACTCGCTGTGATCATCTGCACCTCAAGAATGTTTTTTATAAGTTTAAAATGTTTTTTTTTATTCATTCAAAACTTTCATTCATTCATTTTATTCATCTATTGCAATAAAGTTTTTATCTGACGCAGCCAAGGCGGAAATTGAGGCACACTTTCATAAGTATGTGGGAACGGTGGGTGTGGAACTATAGCATTAAAGGCACAGGCAACAAAAAACAGTTACAGTGTGTTCAGCGCAGAAAATTCCAACATACTGAAAAGTATAATAAATAATCTGTTGGTTGTTTTCAGCTGAAACTTTACAGACACATTTTGGAGACACAAAAGACTCATCTTAAATCTTGAAAAAGAGGTAGAATAGGTGCCACTTTAAAGACTTGATGAAGGTTTTGGGAAATCTCAAAAGTATTGTCCTCAAACCTAACAAAGCATTAAAACTGGTTTCAGGCATAAAACAATTTTCAACTACATAGACAATTAACCATTTTGTCAGAGTCTAGTGTTGTATTCCACACGGTTCATTTGCACAGCTACAAACCTGCAAAGTATTTGGTGAGATCTGCAGAAAAGCAGACGGGGCTCATTATACTCTCATCTCAGCACTTTATGATTATGTTTGAAGAGTCGCTTCACTGTTGTGCCTCAGTGGTGTCCACAGAAGCATATCAGAAATAAATGGTAGCAAAGATATTTTTTTTTGGCTGAGACATCACATGTGTGTAAGGGATATGACGATAAGACTCTCCACCTTCTATATAAATCAGGCCTCGGAGGAGTCTTTATTGTCAGTTTAGCTTTTAAGGCTCACCTTAGCAGCTAAAATGGCTCTTCAGGATGTTTGTGGTTTCACAGAGACATTTGATGACACCAACTCATCCAGTTACCAACCAAATGAGATGGGACACATGTGGAGGACACCGTTCGAGTTTGATAGAGAGAGTTCTTTTAATTTTCACATTCCAGCTCAGCAGAGCTGCAGAAAAACTCTTTTCTCTTCAACTCTTTCACCTCACGAGCAACCATTTCATTTGTCACATGGGACCACCACTTTGGGTTTTATATTCCAGGATGGTGTAATAGCTGCTGCGGACACTCGCGCCAGCTGTAAAGGTCTAGTTTGCTGCCCGATAACTCATAAGATTATGCCTATCCACTCTCACCTGGTGGTGAACACCTCAGGTAGCGGTGCTGATTGTATGCTGTGGGAACGGATTCTCACACGTGAGATGAGGCTTTACCAGCTTCGCCATCGAACGAGACTCAGCATAAATGGAGCCGCAAAGCTGCTCTCCACTATGCTTCATCCATTCAAAGGGACTAATGTCTGTGTTGCAGCTACTCTTTGTGGATGGGATGGAGAAGAATCTCAGATACAATGGAAAACAAGCATGGGAACTGTAAATGTTAATGAATCAATGGCTCAGGATTCCACTCTGTCTGCAATTTCTGATGAATCTGCTCTAGGTAGTGAAAAAAGAGCTTCAATAAGTGAGCAGGAGGAGATCCTGAAGGACGTGGCAGATCAACAGAATCGCTCTACTTTTGGAGGACGGTTTGGTCCCAGGGTATGCTATGTTTGCAGTGACGGCTTGCAACTGAACGGAGAGATAATATCAGTGGGTTCAGGGTCACCCTATGCATACGCCGTGCTTGATGACGGATGGAGATGGGGAATGACTGTAGATGAGGCAGTGGGACTGGCCCGGGAGGCTGTTTTCAGAGCCACTCACTGGGATGCCTACTCTGGGAATAATGTAGACCTTTTCTATATCACTGCCCGTGGCTGGAGACGCAGAGAGAGAGAGGATCTAAAGGAGGAGTACTACAGAGAAAGGGAGAGAGAGAGGGAGAAGATCAAGGAGAGGGAGGAAGAGAGACAGAAGAGAGAGCTGGTTGAAGGGGATGATGATGATGTATATTCAGTACAATGCGGATAGGGACACAAGAGGTGGAAAAACAAAAATACATGGATGGAATGTGAATGCGATGGGTGGAAGTATTCGTGAGTAGAACAATGTCAAGCTGGTCATTCGACAGCAGATAAGACAGAATGCACAATGCACAGGGAAGGCAAATAAATATGTTTTTATGAATCTTTTTCAACCAAATTAATATTTTTATAATAGTTTTTAATTACAGATTGTTACAAGGTATCAGAAAAAAGGAAGTGGATTTATTTTTTAAAGAAAATCTATTAAATTCATGTTTATTCATAAAGCTCATAATACATGCAATGACTCAAAAACACTTTACTGAAATGCATGTTTCCTGCAATTTGGTGCCTGTTAGTGTCCATCAGGGACCAAAGACGATACAAATTATTCAGTTTGCTAATGACAATATTCCAGCCGAAATCTATGAAGTTGATTAAAGCAATGATTGCATGCTGTGATCATTAACACAAGAACTGTTAGTTTGAATGTTAATTAAGAGTCTCAAGTCCTATTCTGAGACATACAGACTACTACACCCCATGTAGAACAATTATCATGCTGTTAATCAAATTTAAAGTAAAATTGGAGTTGAAGTTTATAAGATTCTTAAAAAATGATAAATCTGAGGATGATAATAGTTTAATGACATAAGATCAGGGCATACAACAAGGCTACAACAAATGATAAAAGCAGGGGTGCCCAAACTCGGTCCTGGAGGACCGGTGTCCTGCAGAGTTTAGCTCCAACTTGCCTTAACCTACCTGCCAGGATGTTTCTAGCAAGCCCAGCATGATGACCTGGCTCAGGTGTGTCTGATTGAGGGTCAATTCAGGACACCAGCCCTCCAGGACTGAGTTTAGGCACCCTTTGTTAAAAGTGTCTGGATATTTTGATAAGTAGATATATATGTACAATTTAATAAACAAAACAAGAGGAACCAAAATATTAATTAACTCAGTAAAGGCATATTATATTTTTACCCTTTTGAATGATTTATGCTGTCATGAAATATTTTTCAGAAGCTGCTTTGTTATAAAAATCATTATATTATCCATGTTTTAAAAGTGAATTGCAGAAAAAAAAAATTTTAAATATATAATTGTTATAATATAGTTGAAGCTGGAAGGGCATCCGCTGTGTAAAACATATGCTGGATAAGTTGTAAATTCATTCCGCTGTGGGTCCCCTGATGAATAAAAGGGACTGAGCCAAAGGAAAATTAATGAATGATTTGTGCTAACTATTTTATTTTAAATGTGCTCACATAGCATTAGCATCATCATTGTTGTGTGATCAATCGGTGACCAGAGAAGATACACTCAAAAATATTAATTAATTCTCTAAACGATCATTGTCAGCCTCTTTCATTGATCGTTTAGGGAATTAATTAACATTTTCTGAGCATATTTCGTTTGATTAAATAGCTTGAATCATGTGTGGCAATTTTGCTGTAGTCGGTCATCCTGAGCGGTAGATGGCGATGTGGTTTCATGATGTTTCACTTACTCACATGTAACATACAAGAAGCAGACGCCGCTTCTGGTCAGTTTTCTGAAACATGGCGCTGTCTAGTATTTTGCGGAATGAGTCTGCGGATTTTTCAGATCCAATTGACCGGTCTTTTGCTCACGGATGTGGCCTAAACCAGACAAATCTCGGCTTTGGAGCCGCTCTGGGTGACAGCCCAAACTTCGCCGTGAAGACTCTGGGTGAAGACGATGAACCGGAGAGAAAAATCGAGTTTCTTCACGGCACGACCACCTTAGCATTCAAAGTGAGTTCATTTAACGTTAGCCAGCAGCTAATAGCATCTGAAGAGTTTAAAAGCTGTGTATTCTTCCTTTCTGTTAACATCTCAAAAACGTAACAATTATACAATCAGGACCATGTGTCTGCTGCACTCATATTTATACATGATGTGTGTGCTATGAATAGAGAAATGCTCAATAGTCAAATAACTAGAACATGAGGCTGTTAACGTTAGTTAAGTTACTCAGTCGCTATGTTTACATCAATGTTCATTCAATTGTTTAACTTACGTCATTATATTTGATGAATGTTTTGAGTTGTTTTTTGTGTGCGTGTGACTTAATTCTTGAATAAGAGCGGCCCCATTTTGTGTTACTGTCAATAACCGTAGATTATTGTGTCAAACAGCATTAAAAGTGTTTATGGCTATACGAAGATTGCGAGTTTTTATTAAAAAAGGCAGAATAGGATTTTATTAAAGTATGGATGTTTACATACTCCAGCTTTACTCCTTTATGTAAAATTAAAGCCTGTCAGGATAAGACCGAGTATGACACAGCACCTAATGTGCTTTTTCATTGTGGCCTACTCTGCCTACATTTTATCATAATCTTATGTAGACCACTAAGTTATGCATGTGTTGATTATTTTAACCAACACATTTATTACTTGAACTAAACTGAATTTGGGTTATTGACAAATGTGTTGTCTACATATTAAAACTAATACAGTTTTGTAATAGTTTCCATTTTGCCTGCCCTTTTTAGTTGCATGATGTTTATTTGAATAAGTGGCATTAAATGTATTCTAATAAAACCTATGTTAGGGCTGGGCTGAGAAACATTATATTGAATCGCAATAAAATTTGTGTCAATAACACTAAGCTCTGCACATTTTTACTCTAAATTGAACTAAGAGCCAATCACACAGCAGAAATGTGCAACAATAAGTATGTAAAAGTGTGTTGATATTAGAGATGTACTGTCTTTTTGGCCATCGAAAATGTATTATCGGAAAATAGGTTATGCCATTTAATGGACTGTAATTAAAGGGATAGTTCATCCAAAAAATACATTTTCTGTTAATTTATTCAGCCTCAGGCTGTCAAAGATGTAGGTGAGGTTTTTTCTTTAGTTTATTTTACATATGAAATTATGTTGCAAGTCAACAGTTTTGAGCTGAGGTGTCCAAACTCTGTTCTGGAGGGTCAGTGTCCTGCTGAGTTTAGCTCCAAACTTGCTTCAACACACCTGCACGTAAGTTTCTAGTTTATCTAGTAAGAGCTTGATTAGCTTGTTCAGGTGTGTTTGATTAGGGTTGGAGCTAAACCCTCCAGGACCAAGTTTGGACACCACTGGCTTTGAGAGTCTGAGAGTCAAATTATTACCTGTGGCTCCTGATAGCACATTGAGGTCTTATGATGCAACACAGTCGGTCCATGCAAGCGACTAAATATTATTTCCGACTACTGACTGAGAACATGACATTCTCAAATAATTATGCATGTGTTGTTTAGTGACAATTTAGAATTTAGCAGGAATATGAAAATGCTGTTTTCATCAAAATAGTCCTTGCTTGTGCTTCCCCTGAATGCTGGAACCTGTATTAAAATGATTGTGTACGCAATCTAAATCGGGAAAATGACATTTTACAGATTCACAATGACTGAAATTAGGGTTGGGTGATAAATTAAAATGTCATGCACATGTTTTCAGGGATGCTTGGTTCTGTTATCAGTAGTAATTATTCTCCAAATGCCAGAGGGTGCTTTTGCATGAAAATTCGAATAAGCCTCAAAGAAGAAACCCAGAAAATCCCTGTTGTTGCTTAATAAACTGTTTATTAAACTGCTTTTTTAAAATTCAACCTAACTAATAATTCGGCCTGCGCAATACTGAAAAAAAAACTGACATTGTGATATTTAGTTTTTATGCAATACATATTTTGATATTCAGTATAATTTCACTTGATTAAATTAATTGGTCTGTTTAAAAAAAATCATAGAAATGAATTAATTGAGATGATTTTGTAGGGGAGAGAATATTCATAAAATATAATAAACCAATCACAAGCATTGATAAATACAGTAAAGCAAAGACACAAATTAAACAGTGTTTCTTGATTTTCTGGGGGTCTAGCTGTATTTAGGCACAAATTAAATGATCAAATGTAAAATAGCACTGTATAGTGTAGCTTTATCATATATGCACATAAATACAATTAATCTTTCTTAAAGTTACAAACATAATTTCTTATGCTTAAATTATTTCAAGTGTTTTGAAATGCTCACACATTTACAGGCCTTAAAAACACATGGAAAATTATTAACTAAATGGTAAATTTATGGTTAAAATGTAGGCCTGACGCAATAATAAACATATCAGTTTTAGTGTAATAATGAAAATGACTGAAAAAATAATATTGTCCTTCTTAATTGCATAAAATCAAGTCTTCCTAACATTTTATCTGATTTTGCAGCCTCTATCCAACCTGAAATCTCACACAGAATTTTAAGACATTTTAGGACTAGATTTGATCAAGCGGTTTTTACCAGATGTCATATTGGGCATACAAGAATAACCCATGTTTTTTTGCTCCAAGGTGAAAACCCTACTAAATGTTTGTGCTAAACAACTTCCCTTACTATAAAATGCATTTTACTAGACTGTTCTGCTTTTAATGATTCCAGAAGAGTTTTTTTTTCTGAAATGAACTCTCTTAAGGACTATTTTAGCAAAGTAACACCAGAAAAGATTTTAGAATTTTTATCATGTATTAACAATAAAAATCCTATTTAGATTGTTGATTTTTAATATATTTATTGTTGAAATGTTCCTGCCATGAAAATAGCCCTGGTTGCCGACATGGCATAAAAAAAAACATTACATTGATACCTTTATCATCTTGGTGATCTCTGTTTGAGGTGTCTGCAAGTTCAGGGAACTTTTTTTTAGAAATTTAATAGTTTGCAAAATTTAAAAATCCATGATAGTCTTTTGGGCAGCCAGTCTTAAGATTTCGGTAACCTGAAATGAATTCAAATGGCCTAAATAGAAAAGTCCTTATTTACTAAATAAAATACATTGGCAAAAAAAAATTATAATGGAATTCATCATAAGTAGGGCCAGATGGAATCTGCGGATATTTTTTTGCTATTTCTGTGGAGAATTTTGGTAAAAATCTGCAGATTTCTGCGGAATCATTTTGGAAATATCATAACTAAAACCTTAATATGTGAATTAAAAAAGAATATCTTCACTTTTATTTAGTGTTTAAAATGCAAATCCAATTAGATCCACTTCATTTGGTAAACAAAGCAAGTCTCGTATGATATATCTGCTAAAAGACAGAAAATATTACTGTAAAAACTGTATTGATTATAGTTAAACATTTTCATATTAGTCAATAATATTATTGTACTTAATTTAAAAACTGAATAAATATAGTTTTACACACATTTACTCAAGTTAATAAACAGAATTAATGATGGGCTAAAAATTTGCGAAATTCTGTGTGTGCAGATTTCGTGTGGCCCTAAAGCTATGTGTTTATGTATGCATGTATGTATATATATATATATATATATATATATATATATATATATATATATATATATATATATATATATATATATATATATGTATATTTATATATATATATATATGTATATTTATATTTTAAATGATTTTAATTATTTTTATTGTATTTGTGTTTTTTTTTGTCCCTAAAAATCATGTGAAAACCTGGTAGGCCTCTCTTTTTTTGTTTCATTTATTAGCAACTTGGTACTGAAGTAATGGTTCTTTTGACAACACCAATTAGTGCAAACGCAAATTCAATGCTTGAAAACCACAAAAACCGCTGAAATAGGCTGTATATTTCCTCACATTAGGATAGTTCAACGAGCGAGGTGAATTAAATTTTGGTAGCCGGACTGGAAAATATTATAGCCCCGGGATGTCAGGCTATCAGTTTTGTGAGCACTGAACATTGTTTAACCGACAGGTGAATTTTCCCGTTTTCTTGAAAACTACTGATGGATTGAAACAAGTTGTCCAAATGAGCTCTGTTTCAGAGCTGCAGTCCACTTCAATAAAAGTGTCAGCGCAAAATGGCACACATTTACAAATGAGGTTAAAGCCATTTCACAAGGACATTTACACTCTACATCACCAGTGTCCATTTATATTAAGACATTTACTTTTTAAACCTCAAATGACAGAATCTCAATGACCTTAAAGAGATTTTTTTTTCATTCCTAGAAAGTTTTTATGCCTATTTGCATTATTATGATTATATAATTATCTTATCACTGGAATAAAATTATCTTAAAATGACAATAATATCAATAAAATAAAATAATTACTGTAACAATAAATCACACATGATTTTTAATTGTGACAGGCCTAACAGGTTTTAGATTTACCCGTTTATTTTTTTTACTTTCAAAAGTGCCAAAAGCTGTTGATTTGCATTGTTATAGATCTTCAAGAGGCACGATTTGAGCTAAAAATCTTTCTTAATTTTCTGCTGAATAAAGTCATCAAAATCTTCGATGGACTAAGGCAAAGGTCTCAACTCAATCCTGGAGGGCCGCAGTTCTGCACAGTTTTGCTCCAACCCTAATTGTACACAGCTGATCTAGTAGTGACTTGTAGTCTTGAACACCTTGATTGGATCAGCTATGTTTGATTAGGGTTGGAGCAAAACTGTTCAGAGCTGCGTTCTCCAGGATTTTAGTTTGAGACCTATGGACGAAGGGAATTAAAGTAAGTTAGAGGTCCTGTGAAATTTAAATATATTTTTGTTTAATTTTTTTAACTAAAGATTTTTTAGTTAATAATAATCATAGTTATAACGATATCTATCAGCTATAGTGCATCAAAACAGTAACAAATTTCCCATTTACAAGATATAAACAAAACATCCACAGCTTGTAGTTAGTCACTTCTGGCTAAATTGATAAACAACTTTTTTTTATTTAAAAAAAAAAAAATTTTTTAACATCACCTCATACTTCAGTTTCCCATCAAATCTTCAGACCAATCAAATGACATGTCCTGCCCCCTTCAAGATGCTTCTCATTTCTTTTTCAAGGGATGCACTCGATTTCAACCACTCTCATTGGCAGAACTGGGATTAAAAACAAAATATCATTGGCTGTTTTTTAAAAGAAGAAGAGCTACATTTCCTGTCCTGTTTCACTTGAGTTAAGGTCAAACTTTTAATACAAATGCACATTTCAAAGCACTTCATGGGACCTTTAAATATTTTTAATTTTGCTTTTAAATATTACACTTTTTTGCATTTAAACAAAAATGACTAAATGGCTACTTTTGAAGGACTCTCAATGGGCCCAAAGAGCTTTTGAATAGCCAGATGGTTTCCGCATCTGCCAGCTATCAGTTTTACACCAACCAGCCACAAATTGGTTCCTTGGTCGCCTTGGTTTTCATTTTCTGCTATTAAATTTAAAGTAAAAAAGTTCAATTTGCAATTTTCACCAACATATTTGTGTCATCTGTCTCAGTTTCAGCATGGTGTGATAGTGGCTGTGGATTCTAGAGCGACCGCGGGCGCCTACATTGCTTCACAGACAGTGAAGAAGGTGATTGAAATCAACCCGTACCTGCTTGGCACCATGGCAGGAGGGGCAGCAGATTGCAGCTTCTGGGAGCGACTGCTGGCCAGGCAGTGTCGCATTTATGAGCTCCGCAACAAAGAGCGCATTTCAGTGGCAGCTGCATCCAAACTGCTGGCTAACATGGTGTATCAGTACAAAGGCATGGGCCTCAGCATGGGCACGATGGTCTGCGGCTGGGACAAAAGAGGGCCAGGTAATTATCATATGCTTGTGTTAATTGTAGTTTGATTAGACAAAGTATTCTTTTTTTATCAAATAAATAAATTGGTTAAATTCTTTACATTCAAAAGGGGTTGAAAGATCATATAAACACTTGATAGATTAATTCATTTATGTTTTTTGCTTTGTTTTGATTGATGTCTTTTTATTGTTGTAGATCTTTATTATTATAGAAAAATTATATTTAAAACATCGTCATCTTAGAATTATAAGGTTCTATCTGACATTTTTGTCAAAATTGAGTTATTGACATACTTATTAAATGACAACTTATTTACACTATGAGATGTTTTTTTATATGTTGTTTTTTTATAAGACGTTTATTTAATAAAAAAAAAAAAAATTGTACACACATATGGTTTGCTATGGAATGTAAAAATATTGAACAGTCATAATCTTATAATTCCAAGGTGACAAAATGTTCTGGTTTTGTCATGAAATTGCCAGAGAAGCTGATGTGGCAATTCAAAATTCTTTCTCTCCCATCATGTTTTAATTAAATTGTACATTTTAAAATCTATTTACCAATATTTTTAAAATTGAAAGTTTTACTGGTTATTTAAATTGGTTAGATTTTTTTTTTGTTGACAAGGCCTGCAAAATGTAAAATATTATCATCTTATCTTCAGATTTATCATCTTTACAGGCTACCTATTAGGTTTGATCTCATAAGCTTCAACTCCAGTCAAATCAGATCAATAATTTTGGGCCCTATTACCCTAGGCTGGACTAAATTATACCTATTAAATAAATTCTATTACTTAAATTTTAAATGACATAAGTTTATTAGCATATTTTTGATTAATTCATAGTATATTAGAATAATTAATAATGTAATGTGACATTTAAATATAATTAATTTAATATACAAATGGTTTTTTCATTTGTTTACCAATAAGTTTTATATTTTAATAGAAAATTACATTTTTATATTTCAGAATTTTTTTATGTATATAAAAATGGAACATAGCTTTGAATTTTATGTCATACATCTTATGCGATTGTAAAATACTATATAGTATTAAAAATGTGTTGTTTTTTTTTATACACTCAGATACACATTTAGTCTTGTCACAATAATCAGTATATCGATCGTGCAATACTCAGAGATCTCAATAATTTTTTGTCGTTGCAATATATATTTACAAATTTGCAATTAACGTTAAAGCCATTTTACAATGACATTTACATTTAACAGCAATGCTGTTAACGTTTATAATTGGACAATTACCTAATATGATGTTTTATAGTGTATTTATAATACTACATTTACCTTTTTACATCAAATTATAGAATTTTAATAACCTTAAGAATAATAAGTATGTATTATAATGCCATTATATAATTAGTGGCATAAAATGATCTCAAAATGACAATATTTGTTGCTTATCGCAACAGTTTCTGTGACAATATATCGCATGACAAAATATTTTTATCGTGACAGACCTACATAAACAAACAGTTGAAGGCAAAATTATTAACCGATTGTTAGTAACTAAGGGTGTCACGATCCTCCAAATCTTCGATTCGATTTTCGATTATGAATAATTAATTAATTAATGACCAATTAATTATTTGAAGCCTACCGTTTAAACTACCTGACCTGCATGGTCTTTGTTTTACCCATAAACAAATCATACAGTAAATGAATAAAGGCAAGATACACACATAATTACCACCTGTCAATCACTTTTTTTCTGCGGGACTCGTGAATAGGCAGTGATCTGTGTCGTTATAATGGCGTCGTTATAAAATGCCATTTAAAAACAAAGACAGTGTAAACAGGGCCTGAGTGTGTACTTTTCGCGAGCGGATTTGCAACGGGGGCGGGCGGAGGATCGCGATGCCGGTGTTGTCTATCGGACGAACCGTATGTAGTACGTACATAGCAGAGCTTGCAAAACTGTGTTTTTTTTTTGTCGACAACACGAACGTTGTCAACATAACTCCAAAAAATCCAAAATGCTTACACACCGGGGACTTCATTGAAAGAGGAGAGGGTTTAATTCTGTCGACGGGTCTCCTGCTTCTGCAGTTTAACAAGCACTTCAACAAGCATGTTTTTTTCCCGCTTGGCAAGCCAAGATGACGTGAAATGGGGGCGTGGCAGCATCGACGATTCTATTTTTTGATTCGGTAATCGAAATTGAGCATAAATTTCGATCGATTTCGATTAAAAATCGAAATCGTGACACCCCTATTAGTAACATTTAACGGATTAAGCACATTTTCACAGCATTTCCGCAAATTTTTTTAAATAAGCAATATTTTGTTGATTTTTGTTAAAAACAAATCAGTCATTAGAAATAAGTTATTAAAAGTATTATGTTAAGAAATGTGTTGAAATTGGGTAAAAAAAAAGAACTTAAATTGAAGAGGAGGGCTAAAAATTCTGCTTTTGTCGTAGTATTGCAATATATTATATTACATGAACATTATCGTAATTTCATGCAAAAATTCAATGGCTATTCATACATCTCACCTGCTTAATATGCTCGTATAAAATGTTCCAGCGAGCCGGGGACTAAGGATTATGCTAATTATATATTGCGTAATGCTGTTTACAATAATGTTTGCCGTTAATTAAAGGTGGTTTTCCTCTTTCCTTTTTACTCCGCTACCATCAAAGGCACTAAGCAGAAATATTCCAGCTGCAACCTGTTTGCATCTGGAATAGCTTTGTGATGCAAAAGATTGTCAGAAGGGACCACATTTTTATTTTTTTGCGCCATTTATGTTTTCAATGATTGCTGCAGTTGGCATGGGGACAAATTATGTGATTATTTTCTTTGCTGATTTGAACCTCCCTTTCTGCTGGAATAGCTTTGTAAAAATAGCTCTATCATCATAATTTCCTGCCAGTCCCCAGCAGTAGCCGGAATCTGGTTTTAATATGCAGCACTATGACTTTGTTTTTTAAGATGCATCACAAAACTTGCGCATTAATGGACTCTCGAGACCTTTGCTTTTCTACACCATGATTGATGTCCATTTCTTCTTAATTGGACATTGCATTTAGATCTATGAGAGGCTTTTAATCTAATGGTCTTAATGGTGAGCTCTGCCCATTTTCAGTTCATTTTGTTTCTTCCTAACATGAGGAGTGCAAAGCTAAATGAAGCAAATACTGACTGGGAAAGACAAAGAGATATTACTGCTAGAAATTGCAGATCGTAGGCAGACCAGGGAGTTGTTTAAGCCCATTCCAACAGATGCATTTTTAAAATAAAGTTATTAAGAATGTTAATTTTTAGTACCTCCTATGTACTGTTTAATAAAGGTTTTTTTTTTTATCATGGATTTTATAGTTTAATTGTTCAATATTGTATTATTATATTATATTATATTATATTATATTATATTATATTATATGAAATTTAATTATATTATATTTAATTATATTTGATTATATTGTTGTAATTTATTAGATGTTATCATCATCATCATCATTATTTAATAAAAAACATTTACTTTTAATAAATGTTTTTATTATTAATATCATTGTTTAATTGTTTATCATTGTATTATATTGTTGTAATTTATTAGATTGTTGTTATTATTATAATCATTATTATTATTTAATATAAAACATTTACTTTTTTTATAAAGGTTTTTATTATTAACATTGCTTAACTGTTCATTATAATATATTATTGTAATTTAGTAATGTTCTTGTTATTATTATTCGCATCATCATCATCATCATCATCATCATCATCATAATTATTTAATATAAAACATTTACCTTTTAATAAATGTTTTTTATTATAAATATTGTTTAATTGTTCATTATTATAGTATATTTGATTATATGTTTATTGAAGTTTATTTGATCATGTTGTTATTATCATTCTCTTCACCATTATTATCTTTTAATATAAAACATTTACTTTTTAATAAATGTTTTTTATTAATAATATTTTAGTTTAATTGTTCATTATTGTCATTTGATAATATTATTGTTATTTATTAGATTATGTTATTATCATTATCATCATCACCATTATTATTATTATTATTATTATTATTATTATTGTTTAATCGTTCATTATATTATATTTGATTTATTATTGTAATTTATTAGATGCTGTTGTTGTTGTGATCATTATCATCATTATCATCATTTAATATAAAACATTTTCTTTTTGATAAATGTTTTTTATTATTAATATTTGTAAAAAAAATTTATTCAATTGTTTATTATTATATTTGATTTTATTTATTTATATTATATTGTAATTAATTGTTAACATCAATATGTTGTTGTTGTTATTATTTAATATTAAACATTCAAATGTTTATAATATTATGCACGCGTGTGCGTGCGTGCATGTGTGTGTGTGTATTTGTTGTAATGCGCAAACACATTTATTATATTATTAATAATATTAATGTAATTGTAATTTGTTTGTGCTCATAGTTTTTTAATATTTATGAATATTAAATCATTTTAATTATATAATTTAATGTATAATAATATTATTAATAATAATACGAAGAAGAATTAAATATAAATTATTAATATAATAAAATTGGGTGTGCGTTGTATATAAATTCTTATAATATTAATTAATTTACAATTAATATATGTATAATTATAAATGTAATGTAATAATACTTGTAAAACCTGTATTTGTGATATCTTTTAGTTTTAACATCACGCACACAAAGATAAATGACTGCTACAAATTGCAGATGGTAAGCATGAGTGTGCAAAGCAGGGATTAACTTGAGTTTGTACCAGCAGATGGCGATGCAGCGTCCTGTGCTAGTGATGCATTCCTAAGCTGCAGATACTGAGGTGCTGTAACTGCTCTACATCACGGCCAGTGTGTTTAAAAAGGCCCTGCACACTGACACAGTAATGGGAAATCAATATTCCGGTGACTGTGGGCCAGGGGGGAGCAGCACCATGATGGACGCGGCTTTCAGATGGGGCGATCAGGTCGCATGCAAAGTCGCGTCAGCTCGATC